ATGAACTCCCCTCTGTGGATTGCTTTCCCTGAGTTCCACAGATTTGGGTTGTTGTGTTTTCATTTTTACTTGTTTTAAGTTATCACTTGTTTCTTCCCAGATCTCATTGCTAACCCATTCATTGTTTAATAATATGTTATTTAGTCTCCATGTCCTTGTGTATTTTTCAGTTTTCTTTTTGCGATTGAGTCCTAGTTTGATAGCATATGGTCAGAGATGATTGATATTATTTTAATCTTCTGAAATTTACTGAGACTTGTTTTGTGTCCTCACATGTAGTCTATCCTAGAAAATGTTCTCTGCTTTAGGGTGAAATGCTCTGAAGATATTAATTAAGTCCATTTGATCTTGTGTGTCATTTAATACTGCAATCTCCTTATTGATTTTCTGTCTGGATGATCTATCCGTTGATGTCAATAGGATGTTAAAATCCCCTACATATTTAGGTGCTTCTATTTTGGGCCATAAATGTTTACTAGGGTGGTGTCTTCTTGTTGTACTGTTCCTTTATCATTATGTAGTGTCCCTCTCAGTCTCTCACCATGGCCTTGCTTTTAAAGTCTATTTTGGCAGAAATAATTATTGGTGCCCCAGTATTTTTCCTTTTTAATTTTCATGAAATATGTTTTCCGTACTTTTACTTTTAGTCTTTGTGTATCTTTTATTTTGTGGTGGTATTTTTGTTGACACCATATATACAGGTCTTGTCTCCTTATCCACTAAGCTACCCTATGTCTTTGATTGAAGCATTAAGCCATTGACATTTAAAGTGATTATTTATAGATATGTATCTATTATAATTTTTCCTGAACTAGTAATCTGATTTTTTCTTTTTCTTCTTCTTATTAAAGCTAGCCCTTTAATATTTGTTATAATACTGGTTTTGTGGTAGTAAACTTCTTTAGGTTTTTTCCTCTGGGAAGCTCTTTTTGTTTTAACTTCAATTTTAAATGATAGCTTTGCTGGGTAAAGTAGCCTTGGTTGTAGGTTCTTGCTTTTTATCACTTAGAATATTTTGTGCCAATTTCTTCTGCAATGATTCTGTCAAAAAATCAGATTACACTCTCATGGGAGCTCCCTCATAAGTAACAAATTGCCTTTCTCTTCAAGCTATTAAGATTCTCTCCTGTGTTTAAGCTTCACCATTTTAATTATGCTGTGTCTTGGTGTGTGTCTCTTTGTGTCTATCTTGTTTGGAACTCTGTGCTTTCTGAACTTGTGTGTCTTTTTCCTTCACCAGCTTAAGGAAGTTTTTGGTCATTATTTTGTCATATGGTTCCCAATTTCTTACTCTCTTTTTCTGCTCTGCTATCCCTATAATATGGATGTTATTATACTTCTTATTGTCCCAAGGTCCCTTAAACTATCCATATTTTATTTATTTATTTATTGCTCTGATTGGGTGTTTTTGTTTTTACTTTGTCTTCTAAGTGGCTGATTTGACCCTATGCGTCAGCTAACCTACAATATATTCCTTCCAGTACATTACTTATTTCAAATATTGCAAACTTTATTTCTAAATACCTTTTTTTTACAGTTTCTGTATCTTTTTTTTTCATGCTGCTGAACATCCTTATAATCATTACTTTGAGCTCTGTATATGATAAATTGCTTGCCTCCATTCCATTTAGCTTTTCTTCTGGAGAATTCTCTTGTTCTCTCATTTGAAGCCTGTTTCTTTTTCTTTCCATCTTGGCTGCCTTTTTGTGTTTGTTTCTGTGGGTTGGGTAGATCTGCAAAGAATCTGTTATAGACCCATGTCAGATGCTCTCTATGACTGGCCCTGGGCAAACTGTTTGGAGCTTTTGGTGATCCACACATGGTTTGTGGTTCCCTCTGCTTGACCTGCAGGCATGAAGAGAAAAGCAAGCTGTGCACCAAGTTGGATTTTGCCTGCACTGGCCCAGCAGATGGTCAGCTAAAATCTCAAAGCACCCAAAGATCCACTGCTGCCTGCAGATTGTTTGTTATGCTTAGTCACTGAGAGAGCTGTGGGCTGTACTCTTCAGTGGGGTTTAAGCTGTACAGTGTGGTACAAGAGGTAATTCTGCAGGTGGAGCTATTATTTCCCTTCAGGCTGCCTGGAGGGGAGTGCTCTGCCAGAGAAAGGTTTCTCTTGTATGGAGAATGACAGTACAGGGATACTGATGGCTGACCCTTCAGCTCTCTTACCAGAGCCAGCAATTCCAGACTCTCCTCGTGTGGCTCCAGTCTGCTCTGCTTTACATACACTGGAGCCCAAGGTCTTTGGCCCTTTAAGGGTCTGGCTGCATCTCTAGCCACCTCTCCCTGGTGGAAAGAGACTATTGCTTTTCAGAGCCAGATGTTATGTGGGTGCCTTTCCTGGTTCTGCTGTCCAGGCTGGGGAGGCTGGAGTGGGGTTTAGACTGCACGGTTCTCAGGGGGAATACTCTCTGGCCACTGAAATATCCCTGTGGAACCTCAGCTGCTGCCCTACCTACCAGTCTTGATGTGGTGATGTGGTTTCTATGGTAAATTCTTGATTTTAAGGCTTTACTCCAGCGAGTCTTCAGTTGGTTATTCGGGATGATTTTTCTATAATTTAGTTGTATTTCCAATTAGGTCCTAGGAAAGGTCAGTGTAGCTTCCACCTACTCTGCTGCCATCTTGGGTGGATCTCTTGCATATATTTCTTTGTGTTCAAAGAAACTACTGCAAAATACTTTCTGAGGAATTTTTCAATTGAAGGAATACTTGGGATGCCAATTCAGATTTTAAAATGTGCGTTGAATTACCTAAATAATTGTTGTTATCATAATATTTTACTAACAAATGATAGTTAAGTTAAATGGGCACTTTATTTTGGCTGCAATTCTTTTAAGCACTTGTATTCTTTCTTTTCAATCGCTCAACAACACTGTAATGTATGGAGTATTGTCCTAATATTAATTACTCCCACTTAACAATCAAGAAAAACAAGGCATGAAAAAGTTAATAACAGGTACCATGTCACAGTGTTTACATATAGAAAAGCCTAGATCAAGGACCTAAGTGGTCTTATGCAGATACCCTGCTCTTAGCTAACACATTATGGTGCTTCCAATATACTAAGCCAGGCCCTATGGCCATAATGGTGCAATAGAGAGTATGAACTATGTAGTTAGACAAATTTGGGTTTGGATCCAATCTATGTTACTTGTGTAGCTTGAGAAAATTATTGAAATTCTTAATCTTAATTTCTCAATTTAAAAATGGAAACAGTAATATTAAATTCAGGGTCATTGAGAAAGTAAAATTGAATGACACAAATATTCTGGGACTTGAATGTCTAATTTTTTTAGCTTGATTTTCAGTTACTTGAGGAAATTATTGTACCTTTATTTCTCTATAGTTATAGTCATTTGTGTTTGTAGTTAATAAATGGAACAACTTTATGTATCCAGTAACCCTTACTCCATCCCGTTTTGCTTTCAGAATCATTGTGTCACTAGATAAAGAATATGTTTCGTAGTTCATTAAAGATCCCTGAAGAGGCCTATTCTCTATTGCAGTTTTTTTCTTTTTTCTTTTACCTTTTAAGATTTGTGCATTAAGTTAGGTTTTTGTTGACTAGAGCTGAAGTAATCTGTGTTCAAAGTGCTACATTATGTATTACAGGCATCTAGTAGCAGCTTGGAAGTAATGAAATTGTTCAGCATTAATTATTTTTAGGAATGTCTCTCCCACTTCCTTAGTGTTCATCTTCTCTTCTGGAGTGCTGTACTTTTCGGCTTTTTGGAACAATTTAGTAGAGAGCTGCTGGTAATATAATTAGGAGCTATTTTCTGAAGATTCTCTGACAGCTCCAGAACCAGGATCAAAACTAATGACTACTTGGGAAGTGGAAAAGCTAGTGTATTATACTCTGAACACAAATGTTTAGCCCTGGCTAGTGTGGCTCAGTGGGTTGGAGCATTGTCCCATAACTGAAAGGTTGAAAGTTCAGTCTCTGGTTGGGTGCATACAGAAGGCAACTACTCAATGTTTTTCTTTCACACCAATGTTTCTATGTCTCCCTTACTCTCTCTCTCTCTAAAATCAATGAAAAAATGTCCTCAGGTCAGGATAAAAAACAAACCAATGTTTAGAGCTTAGTATGAGAATAAAGTCTAGAGCTCTTAACTGAGCATTTCTGGGTTGCAACAGTCTGGCTTTAGTCTAATATTTCAGTTTTATTTACTAGTTCATCTCCATAAATTTCCTGTGCTAGACTGCCAAACTGACTGATTTGCTATTTCTAATAACTATGTTGTGCTTTCTTGTCTCCTTATTATTGTGGTCATGTATCGGCCTCTTCCTGGTATGTTATTCTCTCCTTTAAAATTAATACCCTGTTTCTTGAGACTCAGATCCAGATACTTTGTCCCCTAGAAGGCCTTCCTGGGTCATGCCAGATAGAAGTAATATATCCTTACTTTGAACTTCTAGTTCATGGAAAGACATTATTCATTATACATTCATCACAAATACTTTGGCATCGACTTCATGCCAAGCACTGTATTAGATACTGGGGATACAGAGTTAAACAGTATGGACACTGCCCCTATCTTCATAGAGCTTAGCTTACTTCACCTTGCAGTGGAATTAGTTGTGCATTTGTTTATTTGCTATATGTAATTTATCTTTGCATCCTTTATTGTCCCTAGAATGTTATGGGCTTTTGCCAAATATTAAACCAATATTTGCTGAAAAAATAATAGGGTTTTAGACATCAATGGATTTTGTTTTCATGGGTCTAGATAAAATATTTCTTCTCATTCTGGTACCTGTTCTTATAGTAATCCAATTATACATAAACTCAGTTATAATGTTTACATGAGTATTTGTGGATATGTATATAGATTTAGGAAGGTGTTCAATGGTGATGCTTTTCATTTTTTATTTAGGTAGTTTTGTCTATTTTAATATATTACTCAGTAATTGAGTTTTATGTGCAGAAGGTCAAACATGTCTGCAGAATGCTCAAAATTTCAGATGATAATTTTCAGTATTTGTGGCAGGAAAACCTCAGTGGAGCTGAAGAGAGGCTTGAAGAACATGCGAGAGTGAAATTGGTTTGGTAAATGTAATGAGACCACTTACACTCAGGGATTTGAGACATTGAGAGAAAAAAGTTGGGTAAGTGCAAATTATTATTTTTATATTCTACACATACATTCTATAATAATAACAAGTGAAAATATCCAGTTTCATTTTAGCATAGCTGGTATTTTTTTCTGTAGTAATTGCAGGGTTATTATTTGGGTTATTTAGAAGGCAGATAGTGTTGAGGGAAAAGATGTGCTTCTAAATGAGTGTTACTTACTATCAATGACAGGTCATCAGAGGTGACTTTTTAGCAATTTTAAAGTGTAAAAGTATGACCATATTTTTAAAAAAATTGTGCCAACATAGGCAAATATGTTGGAGCTGGCTCTAAAACCCACATTTCAGGGGAAATAAAACCAGTCCACAAACACACTTGTTTCTCCTTGACTTTGAGAATTTCAGCAATAATAGATTCCAAAATCTTTGAGCCCATTATCAAATTCGAGTTCTGACACTGACTTGTATTCCAGAAGGTTCTCATTCACCCAGATGTGACTGTCTGCTGAGCCCACTGCAGGCTCACACTCTCAAGGCTGGTTCCAGTGGAGCTGAGTTTAATGACAGTTGTGACATTGCCAGCATGATCAGCTTGAGCAAGCTCTCTGCCCTCTGAAGCCACCAATTCCAGTTCTGCATATTGCTTTCAGACCCTGCCCATCCTTTTTCCTCTGAAGGACTCTGCATCCTGAAAACACCCTACATGCAAAAAAGGTTATCAATATCTACCACACAGGGCTGTTGGGAAATTAAATAAAATGATATCGGGACTCACCTGATAGCAGGTAGTAGCATTTATATGAAAATCAAAGAATCCAGAGGCTTTTGCTAGGCTTAGAAAGAAGCAACATTTTATTCAGTTGAGAAACAAACCAAATCCAGACAGGAAATGTATTATTTGTGAAGGGCTCTTCACAGAAGTAAACAGGAGAACAAGACACACACAGGTATTTAACACATGTTTAGTTGTTCATAAGGTCTATGGGATCTGAAGAATGGGGATAGACATGTGATTTTGGAAATATAAATTGAAAAGGTAAAAGGTTAGATTTATGAAAGTATATACTCCACAAGAGAAATACAAAAGGAAAAACTACTTAAGGATGTAGGTCTTTTCTAATATCTAAATGAGTGGTGTTGAGAGGGTATTTCAGATGCCTCTTAAGAAAGGTAATGGTGGAGGTGACCAAAAATAATATTTGAAGCCAAGTGTTTAGAATCAATTTACAAGAAGAGTGATTGAAAGGTACTTAGGAAGCTCTGCCTGCTGAGAGATTGAAATATCATAACAAGAAGAGGAAAGTGAACTATAGTCTTGGCTGGGAATAAGGGCAAGAATGAATCGAGTTCATGTGTTGCTAAAATGATGAGGCCTTCTTTTAATATAATATCATAACATAATACTATGATAAACATTTTTCAAAATCTGGAACAATTTTTCAGATGTGTCAGAAGGAAAAACAAATTATTTTTATAATGTTAAGAAATGGAAGTAATCTTGGCATGCAAAAGGGGAGCAAATATTCATTTTTCCCTTCAAATGTCTCAAATATTTTGAAATCTATTTTTTAAAAATGGTGTGATATGTTTATAAAGTGATAATAAAAAAATTCTTTTAGGAAAATAGAAAGTCCAAGACCTGAAAGAAGAAAACAGAGACCCAAGCACAGAAGAATGCAATTGCAGTAGAGAGAGAAAAATGATGATCATGAGAATCTGAATTACATAAAAATCAAAGAAAAATGAGTGAATCTCAAGATGAGAAATTAAACAAAGATCTACTTAGTGCATTTTAAAGTGCCCAAGGAGATGATAAGGATGGAGGTTGAAGGTCTTGTTGGAGTATTACATGAGACTGTCAAGTTTGTGCCAAACAAGAAAATGGGGGTGATAGAAAATTTCTTTACAGAACTGTTTCAGTGAGAGGAACAAGATATGTGCTAACGTCAACCAAGAAATAAAGGAACAAAGATTTTACAATTAATCCTTCAATTCAAATGGGGAATAGAGGCCTCTAGTTATTGACATAGGAAAATTCTCTTGAGACACATATCCTCAATTCTAAGTGGTATAAGAATTTTAACACTGCCCAAGAAAACTTCTGATCTGTTGGAGAGAGGTGACAACACCAGGATAAGTTATTTGTGCCTGTCCTCTACTTTTTATTTCTGTTCTCCACCTTGGCAATCTCTCCCAGACTTTCTGACCCTAGTCTACTTCCTTCAATCAACATGACACATCGTTACCAGATTAATCTACCAGATGAATTTACTTGACTAGTCTACCTGATTAATGCTGCCTGATTAATGATTCTGAAGGTCAAACCTACAATACTGCTGCTCCCTTCACAAATCTTTAAATGTCTTCCTAGCACCACAGCATCAGATGCAAACTCATTAACCTAATCTGTCCTCTTCCTACATAGATACCCCCAAGTCTATTTTACACACACACTGTGGTCAGCAAAGTGATACCATCCGTTTGGCAAATACAATGACTTACCATCCTTTTACCAAACATGATGCCCCCATCTTATTTCAGCCTTTCTTTCTTCTCTATCTATATGATGAATAGGAGCTAGCTTAATAGTTTACAAAGATGAATAAGAATTTATGCTGTACACTTGAAGAAATATGTGAAAAGGAATGAGGATTGAGAGAACCAGTAAAAAGTGAATAAGAAGGTACATGGTTTATAAAAAAAGGAAAAAATAATTTCATAGATTCTGTTATCATTTCTTTGTACAGTGGTGCTGTTTTACTTCTGTCAAGAGGCCTCTGTGGTCCCACTGGTGGAGGTACTTTTTTCTGGCCCAGTGAGATATGCCAGGAAGATTGCTACACATCCACCCAAAGAAAGGCATGCTACGAACCATTGATGAGTAATTCCTCATAGTTTACCACCCCTATGTTCATCTGTGACAGCAAAATCCATTTATTAGGACAGCTTAAACTTTTATATGCTTTTGTTGGAATTATGGTAGGACAGTAAGAGAACATGTTCCAATGAATAGATTTGGAAAACTTGTGAAAAAGAAGGCAAAGTGAGTGATAACCTGGACTGAGAAATGTTTTAAAAAATGAAAATGTGGTAAAAAATACCAAAAGATATCTCTACATATTATACTCTGCACTGAAATTACTGAACTCGAGAATGAAGATTCTAAAAATAATTTTAAGGGCATAATGAATAAGAATGATTAATTATGAATATTTTACATGACAAGTTTTTTATTGTAGCTAGTATGTTTGATGAAAGAAGAAATTAATACTGGTTTAAGAGAAGAATTTGAAAATAGGAGCTGCTACAATAGCATATTCATTCATCCATCCATCCATTCATTGACTCATTAGCAAATTCATGTGCAGTGTTCCATGAGCCACTCAGTCTATGAATGTGGGAGTGTAGAGGTACATATGTGAGGGGGTGGACAACCTACTATTTCAGATTTATAATGAGAATTTATGGAGTCTCATTAAAAAGAAAAGGTAAAAATGGAGAAAAATCATCATCATTCTTACTATACAATTTTATTAGAATTGCAAACACATTGTAGTATTTGTATATGAAATAATCCTAGAAAAGAGATGGCCATATGTACAAAAATATTTTATATTAAAAATGTCTTCAGAAGAAATACTTAATTATGAGAGATAATAGTGAAATATCATATTTTTAGAAATTATTTAGCTTGAACATGAGAAAAGTAAACTAGAAATGTGCATAAAGTGTTTAATGTATTTGCTAATGAAGTCTTGTATAATAAAATAAAGAAATGAGAAAATTTAATTGTTGTATATGAAGTAGTATTCTGAAATTCTAGGATTAAAACATATTAAATTAGACTTTTGAGGCAAAGCATTGTAGAATGCAACCCAGTCTAATTATTTGGGTTGATGTTTGACTTTTCCTAATTACACAAACCTCAGACATATCAGTGAAAATAACAGACTGTGATCTAGTTCTAGATCTGTTACAGAAATCAAGAATCCCTCTCCCGTATGAATTGCTCAACACATTTTGATCCTTTATCTCTTTGTATTTTTGTTTTTGTTTTGTTTTGATCCATACTTTTTTATTCAAGTGCATCAAATTAAGGAGAAAGTTTAATCAGTACTCTACAGTAAAATATTTCTGGAGTTATCATAAATATTTGTCATTTAGAATAGTTCTCATGACAATGAAATAAGACTCAGTGTAATCAATTATCACTACATTTTGGCTTCCACCAAAAAGTTGAAATTTGTCTCATTGGATCCCCAAATGAAAGGAGAAGGACAATGAATGTCAATCAGTAAGAGGCCCTGTTATAGTTGTTGATCATGGGAGACCTAGAGGTCTTACTTACTTAGAGCCTAAATCTTTTCTATGGGTCAACAAAATAAAACAAATCACCGAAGCTGGACATTGACCTTTGGGAGGTGAGCAGGTTGAATATTAGAACATTTTATGTAATGAAACTTGGAGAACACACCAAGCGTTGGTAGATTTTCTTGCATGTGTGGCAGAGAAATGGTTCATAATTCAAATAATGCTAAGCATACTAAAGACAAAGCTACTCTGAGTGTGTAGCATGGGGCGTCACAGTCTGTACTATACAGCAAAGGAACATAGGCCAGAACCAGGAACTCAGGTGTGAGCTCAACTGTCGCTTACTAGCATCTCTGTAGGTCAATTTTTTTAATCTTCATGGTCTTCTGCCTCATTTTCAGAATGAGGGAGAACTACCAGTCATATTTAAGGTTCTTTTTATCTTCAATACTTTGGGCTATAAGGATACACTGAGGAAGGTAAATTCCATAAGCAAATAAAGGTTAGTACATAAGGATTTTCTTTCAGTCTTTTTAAGGCTACTCTTTTCACACTCTTCATATGACCATTGTTGACCTTATTTCTCATTATTTTATTTACATAAGCTATTTTAGGTTTTTGGGTTTGTCTTTTTTTTTCCCCTGACCAACTGTACTTCCTCTCTCCTGGCTATTTTCACCCTCC